TCAAAACCAAGTGATTTCTTTAATCAGGGCATTAACGACCTTATTGTGAGATGGAAAAGCATCATCAGTAAGAATGGAGACTATTTCATTTAATAAATGTTTTATTTTCATATATATATATATATGTTGTTCAGTTTTTTTCATCTAAAAAGTGACATAGATAAATATCATGGTAATGATGTAAAGTATTTCCTTCCTCTGTTGGGTGTTATAGATGTGTAATATATTTGCTGGAACGGTAAGTCTTTAGCTGTAGGTTCAATTTGAAAGAGAAAGCGTTACTTTAGCATTGACCATTAATTAATGCATTAACTCACAAAAATAAACAGATTTAATGACATACCAGGATCAGTTGCTAATGTATATGCAAGTGGCAAAATTGTCGTTTTTGCGTTAACAAATATATATTATATCTGTTCACTACCTCTTCCATGGAACTCGCAAACCTTTTTTCATAGAAGGTTTAGAGCTTCCAACAAAAATGGAATGGTATCGGGTAGTGATGACCTTGTTATGTTCTCCTCGAAACTGTGTTTCTTTGTGATTTCATGCTTTATACTAAAAAAAAATAGTTTTCTACTGTAAGGCTTCTCAGTATATACGAGAAATAAAACATAACCACACTATAAGAATCTCTTGTTGTTTAGAGTTACATATTTTATCAGAGAAAATTGCACTTTTTGAGAGACTCACAGCTATTAAATCATGTTATTGTCAACGGCTCACTTTACTAAATTATGCTAATTAATATATAACTAAAATGATGTTTTGAATTTTTCATTCGTATAAATTTAACAAAGGAGAAATTCCATATATATTGAAATGTATTACCAATATCGACATAAATCACAGGTATAAATAGTCTTTTATATATATCATTGCCCTTAAAAGTTTATAATGCACATCAAAACTATGTAGGGGAGGAAAAAAGAAATAACATTTATATCACTTGTTACCGTTACCTTTTAATTTGGCTTTCCCAATAGAAAAGTGATTTCTTGTATAGAATATTTGATAAGAATTGAAAAGATTCAGATTCTTTGTATTGTTTGTGTATGAGATATAAAACAGGAATATGCACCACTGAACATTTTGATTTGTTCAGGAGGTCATTTACAACGTTGTCTCACACCTCTTGAGTGGCTTTCCATGAACAAGCTGATATCTTACTTAGGTCTACCAGTTTCAAATCCATGTTTAAACACACAAGAGTTTTTTGGAGCTGTATTGAGGGACTTCATTGATGTGTGGTCGAACGAGGTTTGCTGTGATTCCAGTTTCTCCTGCTACATTTTCCACAAAAACAGCTGTTGGTTTTGTAGTTTGACAAATTCCTTTGTCTTGGTGGATTGTAGTTTTGGTCACGTCATTTTTGCCACAGTTCTCCCACTTCGTTGCTGAAAAGAGACCGTCTGTCTGTTTGTAATTTGTTTGTAATCAAGCACAAAGCTACACAATGAGCTATCTGTGCTCTGCCCACTACGGGTATCGAAACCCGGATTCTAGCGTTGTAAATCCCCTGTGCCACTGGGGAGGCCCGTCCGTCTGATATTAATAAGAGTTGATTTTAACATCAAATCCGATTTTACTTCTTTAGCTGAATACTGCAACCGTCATAAAACATTTTGAAACAAGTTGCTTGCACTTACTATTCCACATATTACGTTTCTGCCAGTCACGTGGACGACAATAGATTCATCTTTTACTATCGCAACCATTTAAATACAACCATGCCCCAACTGTAGTCATTACAAATATGCATTTCTTATTTGCTAGATACCTTCAGTATAATTTCTTCATTTCATTTTCCTCTCTCTGTAATATAATTCTCCAGGAGTTAGTGAATGTTTGGCTTGTAATCATTTGTCATATTCAAATCTATGTTCATTATGTTGTTAAGGGTACCAGGGGAAATGCCCAACTTCATTATAATGACTTTTTTGGGTGAGTGGATTATCTTTTGTAATAATTACTTTCACTTTACGGATGTGGTCGTTGGTCCTAATTGATTTGGGTGTGATGTCAGACCACATGACTGTCCCAAGGGCTCTGCCGTGCAAAATTTTCTGCTTCTATGGAGAACGTTGAAGATTTCTCTCTTTGAAATCCTGAACCCTTTGGACCTTTATTTTTTAAAAATCTCGAAACATTAACATTTCTCATTGGATGGAGCGTTCACATATGCGGAAGAAATTATTGCCGATCACGTGATTGTAGATAAACAAGAGGAAATCCTCAATATCCGCAGCACTTGAAATTCTTTTAGGCAGGATTAGAGTAAATTAATCTATGAAACCTTGAGCGTGGTCAAATACATCAATCGAATGGGTTTCACTTCCTCAGTCCAAAAACTGCAATTAGATCTCAAATCGATCAAGAGATGACTGAGCTATGAGCTAAAAGTTTGTACTTGAAAAACTCAGAGCCATTCTGTGAGCCGCTATGGCGCATCTAAAAACCATCTCGACAATAGCAGAGAAAGGGTAGCTAATTTACATGTGTTTTCATTATCTGTAAATTATTTTTATTAATCTTAACTCCCTTCAACTTACATATGCAAGTACACAGACTTATCATTTTCATTTTGTTATAATACGAAAATTGTTTAATCAAACGAAATGACGATCTCAGACAGTTGGATCCATGTACGTAAGAGGTGGCTCTGTGGACTGATTTTGAGACATGAATAAATAAATGAATATATATACATATATAAAACATAAATTTACAGTTACCACAGAAATTTATCTTTACAATGACTTGAAGTTGGTGGTATAAATTTGTCTCTTGATTGTCGTGTGGGCATCGTGAATTAAAATGTAAACAAACTATTATTTTCATTTATTGGAAGGAAAAACGTATACCATATTTCTATTTAATAGATAACCAGCGCAAACGTTTTTGAATATAACAAAATACTCTGATTTCATAAATAGAATAGTGGTTTTCTATATTACCACAACAAATTTAGTGTATTTTTAAAACAGTGAAATTGATAAAATTGAAGAAGCAAAAAATAATTGCATTACACTTTTAATGTTTTATTCATCATCGCTTAATTTTATTGCTGAGTTCATCTGTATTTTGTGGATATGAAGCAACTTACGATTAGATTTTATGGACTCTTCAAACTTAAGAACAGGACAAACCCCGTGTGTACAGTCCTTAAAATATATCTTTGGAGGGTTAGCTTCTCTATATAACGGTATGAAACGTTCAAGAGATATTAATGTATGGTAACTTGACGCTGGTGTTAGTTTTATCTGATTTACTTACATAAATTATGTACTCCCAAGCAAAGACTTTTAAATTTTTGGATAATAATGGCATACTATCATAAAATTTGATAACAGAACTACATATAAAAATATAGTACACATTTACTGATGCAAAAATATTCCTTATTTACAACGTCTGGTGTTGCAGAATAAAGTATCTTGAATTTGTTTTAATTTGTATATGTACTGCTCGTAAAGATGAAGGTGTTCAAGAGTTGTCCCTTTTTCACTAATATTAAACAATGGAAAATAAAATTTTAGAGTCATGGTTTACAAACCAATTTATGCGAAAATATTATCTTTATTTTTTCAATTCCTGGTAGCCATTACAAACAATGTCACTAGTTTTAGGCCTAATATTGACTTGTATAAAAACTAAGTCTACCTAATAGATCTACCTAAACGCATTATAAGTCTTGGATAAAGATGTGCAATTACCGAACGAAGGTTTTTCAAGTTTTATACACGATTGTGTTTGAAGAAACAAAAAATGTAATTCAAGGTTTTACTTTGTTTAATGAGACCTTAATTTCATTAGAAAAAACAAATAGTGTGTGGTTGCATTAGTTGTTTATTTGTTCAATTGGTATTCGTACACAATAATATATAATTCGTCAATAGGTCATTTGTATTAATTTTTGTTGAATAAATTTTAATAGCATGCTATAAATTTTCTTCCTCTAGTTTTTGGTAATATCCTAGTAACATATCCGAATTTTATTTTGAGTTCTCAATATACCTTAACTATCAGGCAATTGAAAACGTAATAATATTCATAATAATAGAACACATAATTAAGTTATAAAAAGAGAATGGCAAAGATACTGCGTGGAAGTGCATGGAACAAAACTTCTTTCCAGTAGTTTCACTATTATGACATTCTCACTAATTCTTTCTGAATAACATTATTTAGGTTCCATGCCGTCACTTGAAAATCATGCAGTTTTACATTATAAAATAATGTTGTTTTGTCAGAATCAGAATTATAGTGATAAGTTTAAGTTTAATTCTTAGAATTAATCCTTTTTATAAATTTGTAGGTCGTGAAAAACCACACGATCCATTTACATTCCAGTTCGAATATTTTATACAAGCATGGAAAAATTTCAGTCCTTGACACATCAACTACCTTTTATTTGATATATCGAGAAACTGCTAACTATTAAGCATTAGCCAGAACACTATTGCTCCTCGATTGTACATTTCTATGTATCTTATATTGTTTTCAATCTGCGTCTGCTTCCAATTATGTTTTAAAATAAATCTTAATAAATATGTATATTTACGTAACTGCTATATATAGTCATCTTAGTGCCTGTTTATACATGAAAACATTTAATTGGCAATATTTTCGAGCGATATGATAAAGTTATTCATTCGTTAATTCTCTCTGAAATGTTTTCTATTTAAAATATTAGTATCAAAATGTTTACAAGCGATTTAGTTCTATCAAAAATAGTGGTAGTTTTTTTACATTAATTGTTTAGTGTAGTTTTGCAAATACTTTTATATTCTATATACGCAAAACACCGTAATGAGCTTTCCAAACCAATTCAAAATCTCTAAATTTGTTTTAAATTTGCCTAATGAGTGAATTTATATTCGCTTTTTAAAATAAAGTGTCTTGTCTTTCTTATACAACATTACTTTTCGGTTCGTCATTGTTTTCAATTTGTAATGGTATAAATTAGACAAATATACACGCTTTTCTTGTTAATTTTATTACATAATTTTACATATTCACAACATCTAAACAGTTTACAGTTTTGTCCTAGTTTTCTATATTTATCATTATTGTGTCAGAACTATTAAATAACTTTAACTTATAAACTCTTACAACAAACATTTTAACCCAGTGTGGCTAGATTAAAATCACTGAAACAAAATATATAAATCATATTATATAACTCTTCTAACTTGTTACACTTATATAGTCATATATACAATCGTTATATATACAATAATGCATTGGATTCATGCATACTAATTCTGATAGAATGGCAATATAATATATCCAATAAAATCAAGAATATAATCATAAAATGTCACACAATCTTTACATCATTTTGAAAAATTAATAATAACATAATAAAACCTTACTCTCTCTCTCTACTATATATATATATATGCGTAAAACAAATTCATCATGTAAAAACTAGAATAAAAAAGTACAAAACAATTAATTTTCAATATACTTTGTTGTGAATTATTACCGGGACAAAAATTTGATATCATATAAAATGTAAAATAAACTATTTTTAGTGGAATGCATTTACAATTTTGTGTCAAAACAAAAGAGCATGAAGTTTAGTGTCATTTGTTATTAAAAACCAGTAGAATAAAAGTATGGAAGATAGCTAAACGTAAGTGTTGATTGTGATTACTTCTTTATCTATCCTAACAAAAATTTGTAATGGACAAATATACACATACTTGTGTTTTCTATTGTAAATTATGAAAACACCTATGTCTGTGATGTACTCACAAATGAAATAGCGCGGGTTATGCACAGTGAGCTGTATAACCAAGGTTAATTGATTAATAACAGAAGACCATATTCACAACACTGAATTATGATTAATTTTGTATAACTACAAAAGTATTGGCATTTCCTTAAAGTTTGAATTGGATGCTATGAATAACTAACGAGTAAATGAATCTCAGAAGTTTATTAGAAGTTCTAAAATAGTCCTTTAATTGCCTCCTGAAGTTTTTAAATTTTTAGATTTATTAATTAAAACAAATATGTATATATAATAAATTATGTTAAATAAAAAGCTAAAATTCCATGTTGGACACATTTCTGCATTAACCAGTGGCAATCGATGCTTTTACTTGCGACACTAACGTTTTTTGAATAACCTGTAGAATCATATGAACCACCTAACTTCAAAATATTTCAATTATCATGTTTCTCTATAGACAATATATATTTTTAATACTAAAGTAACGCTAGATATTGAAATGCCTGACCCAGATCTAGAAATACAGGCTTTCATTGGGAGGTCGTATCTGTATTCAGCAACTTTCTATGCAGTCAAATAATCTCATAAATAACGGGTATTTGGATAAATACTACAATTTAAAGTACTCAACGAAGGCACTCGTCCATGTTACATTTAATTAGGCTGCTATTATTTATTTCTAAAACAATAATTAACATGGAATTAACGTGTGGTCGTTCTGCAAACAAACTTTTTACAGTCTTCTTCGACTGTAGTGGTTTAGATTAATTTACAGTACTCATGTAATATGACATGTAATGTAATAATCACATAAATATGGTATTGGATTGATACTCTTATTTACCATTTCGCTAAATTTTTACAGATTACTCATCTTTTTCGACTAACATTGATGATATATGAATAGTTTCTCTATAACAATTTGCAGTTTTCCTACGTCTCACGTTTCACATTATTTCCTATTTTATTCGAGGTTATACGCTATAAATAATTTTAATGAATCTTTTTTTTATTAATAAAGGTACTTGTACATAAACAGTGTTTGTAAATTTAAATAGCTATTTAAGCAGATGATAGATGATATGTTGTATAAAATATGGTGCCATATATTTTACTTTATTAATGATTACCGACATTAATTTTAAGGCCAAGCACCCTTCAAATATGCTTTTTATCAACCATTATAATGGATAATTAAGTAGAACAATTATCTACTAACAAATATAAACGAGTGTTTCTAGAGAGTTAAGGTGAGCGCGACTATCTGACATTAGTGTGAAGCAAAAGGTTTCAACCAGGAACTAAAAACACTTAATGACATTTTAAACTATTGTTTAAGATTTCAACCGGGAGTCACAGACATCCAAAGGCTTTTTAAACTACTGTTTAAGGTTTCACCCAGGAGTTACAGACATTTTAAAATCAGTATTTGCTCTTTTTACTTGTGCTGTCTCCGACAACAAATTATCGGTTAACTGATATATAAGTAAACAGTGCCATTATAAGTCTATTAAGTTCACCGATAACTAATAATTGAAACATTATTTTTCTAACGTGGAAATATTATAACAACTCAAAACAAGACGCTAGAGGTAACACCGCTTTGTCATTTATACATACGATATAATCATATTAACAGAAATAGCATGCAGTTAATTGCTAACTTTGAGTTCAAATAATACTTGAGTCATTGAGGTAAAAGTTATGAACGTAAAACAAATCTCATGAAATAGTATTTTACGTCATAGTATCATTTAGTATTTCTTCATATTTAAAGGAATGTAAATAATATGCCTTCTCTTGCTCTTTACTTATTTGAAACCTAGCTTGGATCAATACTTTTTATCAACTTAACTGAAAAGGAAATTAAGTTTGGGCTATTTTGTCGTTTTTCTTTTCCTCAAAAAATCACTTTTTTTAAATACACAGATTTGATTTTCTTATAATTGTCGTCTTCGTGTAATTGAAAATAAATAAATAAATACGACTTTCTCTGAGAAATTGAAACCTATATGCCAAGAATAAATACGGCAAGTGACGTACGTAAAAATAGCTTTAGCTACGTAGTTCTTTATCAAATGACTATGAATTTTATTGTACAAATAGACCGAGACTTAGGTCACTGCTACAATGGTATTTCATACACGTTATTAATTTCATTCTCGCTAAAATGAAAAAAGCACGTAAATAAACAGCCACTAGAACTACAAAATTATATTCAAATTGAGTGTCGATCATCTAGGTCATTTCATATTCTAATGATTTTAACCCAACTTAGCCTATTGCTAGTCAGATCAGGTATCATTTATAAAGCTACAAAGTGGTATAACAATTAATTTTTTTATATGTTTCCTCACCTCAAATAAATAAGAATAAAGTAAAACGTAATACAATGAATGTATAAATCTGCAAATCGTAACAGCATTAGAACTCTGGACAAATGAAGTTCAGACTTCCTCAGGAGAGTCTTTTTAACTCAATGGAGTATATACATAGTACTCAGTCCATTACCATCTCGACACGTTTTCAGTAACAAACAAAAAACGAATCGAATATCATTAATCAAACGATTGTGGCACCAAAATACAAATATCTATAATGCATTACAAAACTCGTTCAGTGCTCGAAAGTTTTCATTATACATTAATTAATGTGAACGTAAACACATTGCTTTTGAAGCCCTGTAAAAATCTAAATCATCAGCTACAAATAACAACTGTACTTTATAAATTTACTAGAAAAATCGTTTCGACAGCGACTATTATTTCTCGAGGAAAGAAACATTGCGAATTACTAAACCTATTAAAACAATTGTTTTCTAAATATTTCTAAAAGCTTCATCTCTCGAATTATTTAAAAACACTTTGTACTCTTTCTCCAAAATTGGAACACAAATAATTAGTTTAAAAAAATGTATATAGTTACCAAACGCCATTTAAATTGTTAATGAGATATTGTTATTATAGTATTTACTTCATATATAATAGCTTGTCGCATAGTGTAAAAAAGGAACGACTTTACTTAAAACCAGAGAACACCTTTAAAATGTGGACCTTTTATATCTTACAAACTCATTCATCACCGAACTGTAACGATATGCATGATACACAAGCATACTATAAATAGAACAAACAATCCATATAACAAAAAGCACAAAAAAGTACTATTATTTACAAAGATACACACAGAGAAATAAAACGTATGTTGTACTACCTTGATATACATCACCGATGATGGAACTTGTATGTGGTACGAAATTTCCGCAGAACAAATATGAAACTATTACTGTCATGTTTTCAGTTGAACTTTGGATTTTTTCTGAATGATTCTATAGACTTATATTCCAGACATAAAAAAATATTCCAAATCTATCATGCTACTTTGAATGAAAAACAAAAACTAATGAAACCAGCAGAACTTATTGTCACTTCTCTAGATAATCATGTCGTAGTATACAAAAAAGTGTTATGGTTACACAATATATTTTGCTCAAGTATGCAGACTTTTGCGGCCACCTTTATAGATCTGGTTACCTAAGTATAAATTCTCCCTTAACGATATAAAATCGGTGTTTGTGGTTCCTGAATTATAAGGACTCGATAAATTGTACTCTACTGAAAGTAGTTTCACATAACAAAGGGCTTTAAGCATTTTAAATACCCGATACGTTCCTCCCGATTTTACTTGTCGCGATGATGCTAAAATTGATATTTGAGGAAATAAGCCGCTCAAAGAGACACTAATAATGTCACGAAAATTCAAGATGATTATGGTTAATTAGCTGTATTAAGTGCTATTGCATGAATATAATATCTTCAAAGAACATAAGGTAACCGTTTATACTGGGTTCTAAAATTAACCAAGAATATAAATATCTAGTTTCTAATATAAATAATAATAATAAAAAATTGGACGAGAACATAGACACACATCACACAAACATATACACGTCCTGTTACACAATATAAGGCATCTGTGGTTTAGTCAGTAGCGGCCTGAGTTAACATTGTTCTCTGCCATATATCTCCTTCAGTAATGGCAAATTTGTTGACTCAGTCTTTCTTACGTATAGTTCGCAGCCTAGGTCAGTAAAACAACAATAGGTGACTAATAAAAATACGAATACAAAAGGTCACTACTGTTGTCACCTGTCCCACAGCTCCAGACACCACTACATCTTTATCGAACTTATTAAATCATTTTTCTCAAAACAACGCCACACTTCCTTTTCAACACTCGTGGAACCAAACTGTCAAACTCAGTCAATATACATATATAATAGTTATATATGAAAGATTTAGCAGAACGGAAAATAACACAAAAGTGAGAATCTGAATTAATTCAATTTCACAGTAATTTGCTTTTCATGCCTAGTTTTATAAATACTCAGCAAACCTTCTTTCATGGAGTACATGGAGCTAATATATAAAAAAGACCAGTGTTCTCTTGTTGTTGAGGTGATGTCATAATAACAAAAGGCACTTCGATAAGACTTTGTCGGGCTAGTTCCATATTGTAATCGAATGAAATTTGTTGCTCTGTAATATGCAATAAAAATGAAATAATTGAAATATTAATGTATGCAAGATCTACATTATTTTCACTAGTAGGATACTTCGAAACGTATCAAACATTTCCAAATCTATGACTATCAGGTAATACTAACAAAAGTAAAATATATAATAATTGAATTACGTGAATTACAATTTTATAGAACAAGTTATTACTGAAGATGAGTTAAAAACACGTCATTGATATTTTTATGTAAATCTCAGTACTAATATAATTTAATATAACATTCAGCATGGGCAAGTTTCAAAATACAATCCACCAACAATCATATTCTCGAGATAAATACAGATGAAAGAAATTAACAATACTTTACCTTAGCTCCATCAACTCATCGTGTCATTGGTTCCAAACAATCGAACTTTAACCTCGTCATCTGTTATCTCCACCTCTGCATCTTTGTACTTTGAACCACCATTTAGCTGGCACTGTGGGAACATAGAGTTTCCTTCTCTTTCGGTCACTTGAAGGAGTATGTTAACACTGGCAGGAAGCGAGGCACGTTGATGTTTCTATTAAAAAGTCACACTTCTAATTCCCTCGTCTTAACATGTCCTACAAGTGGCAAATGAGTCTTACTTGGGCTATCAGGGCTAGATTCTGATCCCTCGCCCCCTCCCGGACCAGCTCCTGGACTACAAACAATACCCTGCTCAGTAGGTGGACTGTGAGCTGTGTTGGTGCTCTCGTCTGACGTACGCTTGAAGAAACTGTGCTGTAGACAATTATAGGGAACAACACGAGTTTTGGGATCAAAATCTAACATCCTTATTATCATATCTCTAAATTTGAGATAATCAGAAACACTGTGACCAGCTTCACCTAGTCTTCTTCCACTTGGTCCTCCCGACTCAACGCCCAATATGTCTTGAAGACGACGTGATCCTGGAGATTTGTACTAGTGAAATAAAAATAATGGTCTGGACTGGATATTATTATTTTACAGTAGCGAAAAAGCTCTTGTGAATCATTTATATGAAAATCCTCGAATATTCAAATATTCAAAATAAAATTGTCATATCTTTTTTTATGTAAAATTAAACGAATTTTATAAAGGATTAATAGCAGTAAAAATATGAGGAAAACTATAATTATTTCGATTTCAACTGAAAATATTTTAAGATATTCCAAAGCATGTATAACAATATTAAGATATAAGAAAATTCAATATTTTACAAAACAAGTTTCATGGACAAGTGAAAGTGGCTCGGAAAATTATGTTAGGTTATATTTCCTTTTACCAAAACATTTCACAAGGAGCTTTATTTAATTAGATAACTTCGAAATCTATTTTTAGAGATATATAAGCTAAAAAGATATATTTTGGATGAAAGATGATTTTTTTATACGTACATGTACTTCGTTAACATATATATATATATATATCATTTTAAATGTATCGTGATATCTAAAATAATCAGAATTTTTATATAATTATTATATTTATAATATCTTCATTGTTTACATTTTTTAAATCGAAACACTATATGATTTCTATAAAATACATGTTTTTATACATAATAAAATGTTGAAAAGTTGAACAAAATGTTTCTTGTTATTTGAAATGCAAAGTTACTCAATAGTCCATCTGCGCTTTACCCATCGCAGGAATCAAACTCTGAAATTTTAGTGATATAAGTCCCTAAACTTGGCACTGAGACACAGAGGGAAAACCATAATAGGAGAAATATAATTCATCTATTATAATATTTACCAGTTTTTGTCTGTCCTAAAAACGCGCCCGCACATTATTATCTAAATGCGCATGCGCGAACACTTCATTTCTGAGGAAGTAAACAAAGGGCAGATGTAAATATACTATAGTAGACATTTTATACAACATCATATTAAAAGCTTATCAAGTTTTTAAAAAAGTCTAACACTACGTCGTAGAATAACATTATAAAATTATTGATAGTGTTAAGTACGGTAAAGTTTATCCCTCACAAAACTAAAGTAAAGTGTACACAAATTACGGTATTAATTTATCTCTTTATCGAATATAGGAAGTACATAATAAAGGACAAACTAATGTCAAGCTAAGACAAGTGGACTTGTAGATTTCGGTGTATTTTATTACACTTATTTTGTATTATTCTAGAAATTCTGCAATTAAAGACATATTGTTGCAATAAAGATACCAATTTGACCGCAAATATTTTGTAGGTCTCTGCTAGTATTACAATTTTACAAACTCACAATATAAATATTCGATAGATTCATAGTACCAGTTCGTATGTTATTCTGTAATTGAAATAATGTAAGTATTCGTGTGAAATTAGTAATCCTACTTTTTTTCCATCTTTAGACGGTTTCAAAAAGTAGTTTCCGTCCGGATGTTTGTCAAAGAACTTGCGAGATTTCGGGGCTTGATCTAAAATGTGTTTAGGTGGCATCCCAAGAACTTCGACAATCTTGCACATCTGGTCTACCTTTAAATAACAAAGACAAAACATTATTTATAATTCTCTTAACGTGTTATTAAACATATACGTAACATGTAAGTAAACTTTAGTGTTTTTTGAAAAAAGTCCCCCAAAACACTGTTGCTCTTCATTAGGCTTGAACAAAAGGTTTTAGCGAAGGTCCTTTAAATTGAACAAAAACGTAGAACAATGGAAACGAAGCAACCAATATCCTAACACACTTTCATTAATAGAAAATACAACTCAAACTTAGATTGTTGTTGCATCCTATATTTCCAACTTCAGAAGTAATGAAGTACTAACCTTGTTGCAGAATGGTGCGTTTGGGTTTGTAAAACACAAGATCCCAGAGTTGTTGAAAGATCCGTAGCTACAATATGTAGATTTGAGAATAGCAGTAAATCCTAAGTCTATGGGAGTTGATGAGCGATGTACCACACGTAGTGTTGTTTTTTGCTGGCTTACAATGATATCAAGTTTTACATTTAGGAAACCTATAAACCTATTCGTAAATGCGTAAAGGAATAAATCATAAAGTGTAGTACAAAAACTCAGGAACTCCAGCTGCTTATATATCAGTCGAGAACATACACATGAAAATATTTTCAATGATTTTCTCTTTGCTACCAAAATTATGCACAAATCGAGAAGTCTACAGTTCGACTTTCTACTGCTTGTTTTGCTATTGAACATAAAATACCTTTACTGAACTCACAAATCAGTAAGCCTGTCATAAATGTTGGTTTGTTTGTTTGTTTGTTTTAGTTACGCATAAAGCTACACAATGGGCTATCTGTGCTCTGCCCACCACGGGTATCGAAACCCGGTTTCTAGTGTTGTAAGTCCGTATACATACCGCTGTGCCACTGGGGGAGCTTTTTTTGTATTGTTAAATAATAATTATCATGGTATATATATATCGCATCATACAAGAGTGTTAGGTATTTTGTTTGTTTGTAATTAAGCACAAAGCTACACAATGGATTATCTGTGCTCTGCCCACCACGGGTATCGAAACCCGGATTCTAGCGTTGTAAGTCCGCAGACATACCGCTGTGCTACTGGGGGGCAGATGTTGGTAGTAAATGGGAACACAAAACCTGGAATTAAATGACCATTTGTGTGTGAGTATGTATTTGGCGTACTCGTTTTCTTTTCAGTTAAGTTAGCACAAAATTACAATGGCTCTTCTCTCTATTACAGGTTTTTAATTCAAACAACAATTGTAATTTTGCATGAACTTGATCATAATAACATTTGTGAGGTCCTTAAACGATTTCTTTATACCACTTTTTTTTGGTATTTACTGTTTATCCAGTACGAAAGTGTTCTTGACAAAAATTACGTTTACATGTTTGTTATGTAATATGAGGCCGTTTTGGATGATTATTTTATTTCCTATTCCATTCAGTAATATTTTGTGTGGGCTTAATGCTGAAATTTAAGAAAATAAAATAAATGAATATAATCACAGTTAATTCGTGTTTATTTCAAAATAAAGCTTTTAAATACAGTTTTTTTTATATATAGCTTTTGCTATCTCTAGCTCTGTGGGGGAATTTAAACTAACAGGGTTGCTTATAATTTGGACAACATTTCTCCATTTTGGATTATAGTTAATGTCAATTAATTCATCAGTTTGTTTAAGTACGTGCTAATATTCTTCACAAACTTGCTATAGTTTATGAAGTTAATAAATTAAAATTAAGTAAGATTATTGACCAAAATAAAAATATGTATGAAGGTTTAATTAATTAAGTAGTACGAATTATAAATTAATAATATTTAGAAATATATTCGCACGAAAAACATACGAGACAGTTATTATTGAAAAACACTGAAGAAATTAATATTAATATATACGTTTTAGGTTTAAGCTTAATGTATACAAAGATGCAAAACACTCCGACCATAAACAAGATTTGAAATATGAAACGTTCACTTTGAAATGATAAATTTTATAATAGCTACTACAGTATAAGGGACATATTTTCTAAGAAAAAAAAAGGACCAGCGTTAGAATCAAAAGCATATCTATTAAAATTGACATTTTAGCTTTCGTTTTAGCCAGAAGTCATATGTCTACCTTAGCAAATATATATATATATATATATATAATGATGTTCAAAACAAAACAACTGTGTGTTCCAAATCCTTAATTTATTTTTGGATGTATTAGATAGAATTA